TGTAATAAAGCAATATCCATTCCAAAAGAATACAATTAACATAGCCATAACAAAGCAAATCATACAGAAAAATTTGAAATGTTACGAGGCAAAGCGAAGAATAAAACCTGGCTTCGAACCCAAGTAAAATACTTCACAGAATCAAATAATTCTAGTAAACTTTGTCCTGACAAACAACAATTATTTAAAATATATATCAGCGTGAAAATTTAATATTTAACTATCAATACGTTTGAATTGTAAAATGTAACTGTAACTACAGTACATGCTCACTGTCCACACTTTTTTCACTAAAATTTCATCACTAAAATGCAGCTGCGGACATTACGCTGAATTGTTGCACCTTTTTCTCGTGAGTACTTCTTATTCTTATACTACTTTGTGGAGCTTGGCTACCATTCCGCGCCTTGTGCTTATAAGCATGCGCAAATAATTTTTTTTTTAAAAATATATATATATAAATTTTCGGACATTCTCTCAAGTAATTTTGGGTATAAATTTCATTTCAAACAGCCAGGTTAAGTTTTAAGTGGAAGAAAATGGCATAAGTAATAAAAGTATCAAATTTAAAGTTGTCTAACTGATACCTAAAATTTACAAACTCATTTTCTTCCATCTACATATATAATATAAATTACCCCGTTTATGTTATCAACATTCGGTGCACATTAGTTCGCACAGGACCACAATATAGAGGCACAAATTAACCAACACTTGCAGTTTTAGTATTTACTTTTACACAAATTAAATAAACGTTGGTTCTTTTAATATCTTGCACACATTATTTTTTGTAAATCTGTTCTGATGCACTGTAGGAAAATTTTGGTTATTATGTCTGCGTGAGCGAATGTAAAATCTTTCTGCCGCAAATAGTAACATTAAAAATACACAAGATGACAGTGCAGACACTGTGGTGGCAGCCACATAGTGAAAAATCAGTGAGCAGTATTATTTCTAATTTCAAGCTACCGCAAGAAAGAAAAAAAAGCATTGTGAATAATACTCAGCATATGAGTGCAAATAAATTAATCAGTAAACATCTTTTTATCTCACCTTTATTTCGTTCTTGCAAATCATTTCCAATTGCATCAACACACACTAATTGTTAACACAAACACAATGCGTACACATTAAATATTAAAATTCAAATTTTAAGCAGTTTTTAAAAACTTATCATGAACAATTTTCAACACACACACAGTACCAGTACTTTTATTCCTTTTCCCACATATTAGTTATCATCGTCATCCGTTTCTTCACTCATAACTCCCTCATTTTCTTCATTCATGTTATCTTTCTCGTTTTCTTCATTCCCGTTATCTTTCCATAGGAGATCTTCTGTTCCATAGCATTTGATATACATCCAAAGCATTTGATATACCAGTTACTTTAAAACTTTTCACAATCACACCGTCGGATATGCTTTTTCCACACAGCAACAATCCACGCACACACTTTCAAGAAGGATGGCAGACGTCCAGCTGCTGTGATCCCCCTCCCCCCGGAAGTCACCCAATTATGGTAGAATGCTTGAATGAATGCGACTTTCTTATGCTTATGTAGCCTGGTAGCCTAGGTAGGCTTTTATAAGCTATGGTTCAACTAATCCCTAAGGCGATCAGATTATAAACTACGAACGAAAAAAATCCCAGCCGGGAAGTCAGAGAAAGGGAGGAAAGAGGGCCCATCGGCCATGTACTGCAAGTCAAATCATCGACACATGACACTCCGTTGGTAGACAAGTGAGCTTTATATTGATTGAATATTCTAATGTACAGCTACAGAGAAGAGTAATGTCAATGAAAATAAATGCGATAAAACAATAAAATTAAGGTGAAAATGTAAATGCATGGTATTTACAATGAGATGTACTACAATTAAGTAAGTGCATAGGTGACAAAATTATGGTCTTTTATGCGATGTGCAGTGAATGGTCTTATGTTGACATCCTCTGGAATACAAATGTAGTTCAGAGAAGCATTGAATTCTCCTGCAGTGCAATTTACACCTTTGTCAAAGAATTCGCTATTAAGCCTGTGCAGGTATTTATCTATGTACTCTATTTACAGGTCGTAGTGCAAGAGCTTGTTTCTGATGTAGAAATGTGCATTGGTAATAGTACGCAATATCTTATTTAGCGTAACTTTCAACTTCTGAATTTCATTACTAGCTGTCGCCTAAACGAGAGAGGCATAGCACATGATCGGTCTCAGTATGGAAACGTAAATCTGCCTCTTTCTGCATAAGTCCAGATTTGAACACCTTCCAAGGAGGAAATTATGGTAGCTGTGTTTGAATGCCATTTTAAATGGCTTATTTAGAAAGACATACAGGCAAAGCAGACAGATGTCTGGTGTTGCACCCACTAAGTGTTTGTTTACAAATATCAAGTGGCTGAAGAATGGAAGTTAGACCTCCTGGAATCACAGCAAGATCAGTTTTCGAGGTTTCAAGACTTTGTTTCACTGTGTCTGTTAGATGCCCTTTGAAGCTGTCCAACACAAGAAGAGAAGGTAGCTGCAACAGAGTTCCTGGTCGTTTACACCACACACTCTGCAGCCAGTCCTGAACAAAAGCGCCATCCATCCACCCCTTCTCTTGAACTCGTACAACAATTCCTGGCGGCAGTTTTTCTTTCGGCATTGTGTTTCGCTTAAAAACACATACAGCGAAAATTTTTTGCCATTGGCAGTAACTGCTAACATAACAGTTGCTCTTTGTTTTTCATACATGCATATGCATATTGGTACAGACCTTGCACCCCATTCATTTATGGTGTGGAGCAAAATAAACTGGCGTCTGATTGACATTCGCAATTTGTGAAGCTAAATAATTATTCGCTTTGTGCTTCGCGATAATGAAGCAATGAAAGGACACCGACTTATCTTCATAGTCATTGGCTTGTGAAACGAAAATCCATTTCGTTTCATCATTCGCCGCAACTAGCCTTCACTCGCCTTGAATTGCGATGTAGGAATGTCTTCTTCTCATGCCGCAGCAAGTGCTCTTATTTGGCACATTTCTCGTACTACTGCATACCCTTGAGCACGCATATCACGAACATACGCAACTACTTTTTTTCCTATGTTTGGAAACTTGCATTTCGAACCACGAAACGCACATCTTCTTTTGTTCATTGCCACCATTTGATCATGCTGTTGCTCCAATTGCGCACACAATTTTCGTCCACCTTATACACTCTTGCTGCTGCTCTTTTCCCATTTTCCTGCGAAAATTCTACGACTTTCAGTTTAAAAGCTGCTGTATAGCTGCTGTTTTAAAAAAAAATATGAAAATAAATATAATAGTAATGAAAAACTCTGCTGCTCAGAGGGTTAAATAAATATTTCTTCGTATCTTCAAGCAACTCTTGCCTTTATATCATCAAAAATCCAATTCTCAAAACAGCCTATCCCTGGTATTTTAAACATTTTGAAGCACACAGTATTTGACATAAAATAAAGCAAGGATGTCCAATTTCGTAACTCACAAGCCACATGTGGCTTGCAATGCACTGTCTTGTGAAGTTAGATGATAAGAACGGAAAGGAAATGTCAAATCCAGTTATGTCACATAATCAAAAGTGCAGCCACCAAAGCCCCCTGAAGATAGATCTTCTTCAGAGGGCCTTAAGCTGACATGTTCTACATCAGATGTTGTGTGACAACTTTGCTCTTGATAATCCACACTCTTGATAATCCACATCATTAACCTCATGGTGTTTTGCTTCAGACTGAACTGAATGCTGCATTTTCATTCGCTGATCCTTACGAGAACCTTTGCCACATAACTTTTCAACTTTTTTGCAACTTTTCAAGTTCTTTATTGTTTTTTCTGAGTTCCAAGACATGTTCAGAAAATGCACAGCTATCTTTCCTTGGTAATACATTTGCACTTATATCTGCATATCTAGGTAATAGAGCACTCAATACACATTTCATAGCAATGATGTTCTTCCATTGCTCTAATAATCTCTTGACCACATGGCTGTGGTATTTGTTGGCAAGTATAATTTCAGTATGTTTAAGTGCGACATTTACCTTAAGTACTGTGCAGTTCTGATTAAGGAAACCTATATCATTTTTTGTTATTCCATTTCAAAAGCCACTCAATAAATATTACTGATGTCATTTTTCATGGCTTTATATTATATTTATAGTCCATTGGTAAACTCTTTTAAAGTACCCCCAGTTGCTAATAGTTTTTTTTTTTTTTTTTTAAACTGCACACACTGATTCAGCATTAAACAGTCACACAATCTTTTAGTATTTTACATCTTTTTTAACTTTCAATTTTATATAAATATGTATGTTGCCGAGCATCAATGGAAGCAATGCATGATAATATAAATCTTATGTCTTGTTGCACTACTTAAAAGTACATAGTAAAAAAATTAATAAATAATTTTTGTATGGAAACTAAAAAATAAAGTGTTAGTTGGTTAACAAGTCAAATTTATCCTTTAGTCTGAGATCATTACACCAATTGTTTAAAAAATGATTAAGTGGAATAACCAGTAAGCATTTCCTAGAACAGAACTTTTATAAAAATTATTAAGTTCAAAATAAGTGAGAATTTAGTATTTCCTAGAACAGAATATTTATAAAATTATTAAGCTCAAAATAAGTGAAGATATATTTTGGTGTAAAAAGCAAGATCATATGGAATATTGCTTAATTATTAGCTTATTCTGGTTAGTCCAGTTGATTCTTCCTAAAACTTTAAAAAGCTCCTCCTTTGTACATGGTTGCCTTAAAACAGAATCAAGTTGCTCTTGGTGACATGCCTCACTCATTTGACAATTTCTATACTCTATTTTGGTCTTATTTGTAGATTTTACACCAGTTTAAAAAATTCATTCTATAATATTTTGAAAGCATTAACTGATCTGTTGATCATAAGTATGTATTTTCCGTATTTTTGTATACATATGAGAAGGACTTCACCAACATTAAGTAGGGCCTAATGTGTGATTAAAACCAGTAAAGACACATTTAAAAAATAATCTTAAAAAATTTAATAAAAAATATTATACATTTGTTTTGTCTTTATCTAGTTATTTCACAACTGATGGTTTGAGAAATTTGGCCTGTATGTAAATTCTTGGTACACGTATATTTTCTTTGTAATTAGTTGTTTCTCTTGAAATATAATTATTTACAAGTACTTCAAATCCTGCTTCAATGGCCAGATTTTCCAGATGTTCTGTACAAAGAAATAAAACACACTTTAATATGATTTCTTAAAATGTTATGTAATATTTTGCATAATATATACAGTACAAAGCCCGTAATCCGGACGTCCATTATACGGAATGATCTATAATCCGGACCTCAAAGCAACAAACTTTTTTTTGTATGCTTTACACATGCGCGTTTAGCACACAAACGAAGCAACTTGAACAACTTGCATTAAAAGAAATGTTTAATAAAATAAACAAATATTAAGCTTTTTTTTTTTTTTTTTTTTTTTTTTTTTTTTTATTTTATTTTGATACCCTTTAGATCATAATTTCTCTTCATGCACATAATGCGTTTACGCATGCGCGTTTAGCACAAAAAACGAAGCAAACAACTTACATTGAAAGAAATGTTTAATAAAGTAAACAAATAAATATTAAGCTTTTTTTTTTTATTTATTTTGATACCCTTTAGATCATAATTTCTCTTCATGCACGTAATGCGTTTACGCATGCGCGTTTAGCACAAAAAACGAAGCAAACAACTTACATTGAAAGAAATGTTTAATAAAGTAAACAAATACATATTAAGCTTTTTTTTTTTTTATTTGTAAATTTTGATACCCTTTAGATTATAATTTCTCTTCGTGCACGTAATGTGTTTACGCATGCACATTTAGCACAAAAAAACGAAGCAAACAACTTACATTGAAAGAAATGTTTAATAAAGTAAACAAATAAATATTAAGCTTTTTTTTTTTCTGTAAATTTTGATATCATTTAGATCATAATTACTCTTTGTTTCAGAAATTACGGTTTAATATTTTTAATTGTATAATTTCTGCATGCCATCTTACCAGATTTAAATTGATGATCTATAATCCGGGAAAAGCCTAATCCAGAATCGCCTAAGTCCCGACAAGTCCGGATAACGGACTGTGTACTGTATAACTAATTACTTTCAGTTAATTTTTAGTAGAATTCAATAGTGAAAAATTGGGAGTCTAATTCCTATAACAACACTTTCTACCTGTAAGTTATGAAACCCAAGGATATTTAAGTAATTTTTAGCAAATTGCAACACCTTAAAAAAATTGCAGCAATTTTTATTAAAAAAAATTCAAGTCTAAACTCAGTTAACATCAGTATATCTTCTACATTAATTTACATCATCATTGAACCATGATGATGAATTTTGCTTCCTTTATCCCCTCTTGCTTCCGTCCAAGCACTATCAGACTGAATGCTTTAAAAGAGTATCATGAAAAAAACTGTCTTGCTGGCATGCAGATATTGGCGACCAAATTATGAGAACAATACTGGATCATTCCGTCCAAGTGAAATATAAGATCTTGCATGAGCAGATGTGTGGTCTGCAGGATATTGTTGTGTGTTGCTGATTGTTGCAGCATGTTTATGGTAGTTTTTCAACCACTGTAAACATATCTTTAGAACTGTGCTGTGTAACACTGGCGAATAAATTGTGTTTTGATTCTTCATTAAACGGTTATCAATTGCTCCAAATGCACAAACCCGTAGAGTACAACAGTATTTAAGAATTCCTATGAATATTATAGGAAAAAGTATATTCTCAGGAGTGAGTAATGCAGTTTATTTAATAATTGAGCCTTCGTAACAATTATTTTATGAAATGGAATTATTAATTCATGAAAATCTGTTCGGCTTTTACAAAATAAACTGTGTAAAACTGTTTTGAATTTAAATTGTTAAGAAAGCTATAAAATGCATTTAGGAAATGCAAAATATTTAAAGTAAATGTTTTAAATTAATTAGCTAATGAAACGAATTATGCAAAATTTTTGTTTAATGCATTCATTAACATATTGGAATTTTAGAAATGTATGTTATTTTAAATTTATAGTTTAAATATCACATAAAATGGTAATTTGTTAACACGGAAATAATGATGAATGTGAATTCACATATTTTATAACTAAATATAAATTTTCTGTGATTTATCTTATAAAGTATTTCTCCCGCTTTCCTAGCGTGCCTTCATGGTGTAGTGGTTCTACACGCTGGGCCGGTATTCCAGAGATCCATGGTTCGATTTCTGGCGAAGGCATTTGCTAATTTTTCATCTTGCCTGCTAAAAAAAAAAGAAAAAAAAAAAAAAACTAATGTCTCTACAATCTTCCAGAGCCATGTTTTCAATTGATTGATTTTTGTATCCACAACTATTCGTTCAGCACTGCAGATTAAACAATAGATAACTAATTTGAAAATTAAAGTTTTATTTTAATGAAAGATTGTTTATATAGTATAAAAAACAGTTTCCACCTAATTTTTAGATCTAAAATCTAATAATGACGCTCATTTTCTGGAAGAAAAGCAATTAAAAAAACTTAAATGGAGAAGGAAAAATAGTAATAAAAGTCAAATTATTAAAAACTATTACAAGCCACACAGAAATTTTTTTTAAAAATTCAGTTTTGGAAGAGAAAATGCTGGTATTAATAAGTTAATAAATTTTAAATAAGCTAATTATATGCACTAACTATTTAATAAAATTTTCGAAAATGATAAGTGTTTTTAAATATTAATTTACAGTTTTAAGGTAAGAAAGTAAAATTTGTTATTTCTGAATAAGTAATACTAAAATATACAATATGCCTAGAAAATGACCGTATGATCACTTTTGGATCATATATAACATGTTTTGCATTTGAAAGTATTCTGTATTTCATATAGAGGTATAATTAAATCATAAATGGATGACAATTACACAATAAATCATTAATGTTATGTGATGACATGTAACATCAGTACAATAAGAAAATTTCATGATTATGTTGAATATTTAGAATAATTTAAAATCTTCAAAGTTTTTGAAAATATTTTAAATCTTTGAGAAGTATAACTGCTCGCTAAATTAATAAAACATTGTAGTTATTATTCATTTTAAATGGAGTAACCTCTAAAATAGGATTACTGCGACACTGCACCAGTCATTTAAAAAATAGTGCATTTTTTAAATGACTGGTGCAATAGTGCATTTAAAAAATAGTCCATTATGTGACTTGTTTTTAATTGCAGACATCTCACTTTGTGATGTCAGAATCATGTCACTTTGTGATTTTATATCACAGTCAAAATGTTATGTTACATTATTGTCTCAGTGATTTCACAACAATGTCACAGCATGTCCTTACAACAACACTGCAGTGTGACTTCACAGAGGCATCACAGTTTAATTCACAACACTGCAGAGTGCCTTCATGTTACACTGTAACTTCACATTATTATCGTAATGCAACATCACATAAATGATGCAATATGGCAATAAATGTATGGCACATAAACATAGCAATGTGATGTCACAAAAAGGCATACTCACAGAGTCACTATAACATTGTGTGACATGGCTGTGATGTTGTAAATGTCATACTGTGACATGTTTGTAATGTCACAGAGACATTGCCATGCTGTTAGGGACCAGTTATGCCACTGGGCACTGAATGTTGAATTTGTTGGATCTTAGTCTAAGGAGAAATAGGTACAAGAATTCCATCCAACAAGGGAAGTGCTTGACAAGAGCGTTACTGACAGGATGATATGACACACGAAAGGATGATTAATTTTACATATTAAAATATTAGTAGAGTGTTCTGCCTCATCTCTCACCACCAAACACACTTCTTCCATATCCTCTCTCAAAACTTTTCTGGCGACATTTAGTTCGCACCTCAGTGCCAGCTTCCACAGGCTGGAGAGACTTTGTTCATCTTGGCACGTTCAGTCAAATATTCCAGTGAATTCAGCCATTTTTTTTCAACGAAGTACCACTCGCACCTGAAGATGCGCTGATATTGTTTATGGCGGGTGACACAGGATAACTATGTATTTTTCTGCCACAATCACAAGATTTGCTTCATTAAAATTCGCCAAAACTGCTTGCATTTATTTGGGAGTCTATTAAGCCAAAGTGACTTTACTAAGGAATCTCCCATATCATCATCCACTATTGCACAGGGATGTGTGAGGAACTGAGAGGAGTGCTCTCCAATATCAAAATCTCTGAAGCATTTTTGAATTTTAACAGATTTTTTCTTAGAGTGGATTTCAATGAGGCGTTTTTTGAGACTATCATATTTATTTCCATTTGTGGGATTGAGTATTATATCGGCCACAGAGTTATGAACTTCAGAGTTTATTGCCACTGCTACATAATTATATTATATTTTTTTAGGTCTTTCTTAACATCAGCAAGCGCGAATTGCGATTCCAGTTGGATAAACCATAACGCCAGGTCGTTTTTCCAAAACGGCCGTAGTTTTACCCAAACTGTGAAATTTTTTCAGCTAAATTTCCTTGCAAATGGGGCACGGTAACAGAATTGATTCGATATGATGTAAGGTTTATCCTAAGTTTATAACAGTTATTATTATGTTATAGCTCCTTTCCTATCTCTCCTAATTTCAGCTTACAATTCTTTACAAGAATGAGTTTTTAGAATCTCGTTAAATGCAAATGACTAGTAGGTAGCATTTAAGACGAAGTTCCATTGACTTCGGTAGAGAGAATTCAATTTTCCCTGAATAGCGCGTGTTTGCCTTTCCGCTACGTCTATCTCAGCTGTTACTGCGCTCGGCCGTATAAGTGCCCTTGATAGCTTCGCTAGCTAATTTAATATTAGGGGCCAAATAGTTAGAAATTGTGTTAGCTTCGGCTAAATCTCTTTAGTTAGTTAAGTTCTTATTTCTTATATCTTTGAGCTTAAGCCCAAGTTTAGGCTATGTTGTACGTCCTGAGAAAGAGACCGTCTGTAGACTTTTAGTTTGAGCAATAAAAGGTAATTAATTAATAAAGGGTAATTAACATAAATGTGAAACCCTTCTTGAATTTTACATTTCTGTTTCTAGACTTAAACGATTATTCGATTAGTAGTTCACTAGGTTCCTCCCCACTTTTTTTTTCAATGGCAGATTGTGTACAAGAGTCCATTAATCTGAACTAAGGCCAGATTTGGTGTTCTCTTTATTATGGATGTACATAATAAAAGGAC